TCCTAATTAAAATACCAATGGCATATTTCACAGTCCTAGAACGAACTTCCCAAAAATTCACCTGGAATAAAAAAAGACCCCGAATAGCTGCAGCAATCCTGAGAAAGAAGAACAAAGTAGGTGGGATCTCAATACCAGATATCAAGCTGTATTACAAAGCCACTGTTCTCAAAACGCCTGGTACTGGCACAAGAACAGACATATAGATCAATGGAATAGAATAGAGAACCCAGGAATCAACCTGAACTAATAGAAATCAACCCAACCACTATGCTCAATTAATATTCAACAAAGGAGGCATGAACATACAATGGAGTCAAGACAGTCCCTTCAATAAATGGTGTTGGGAAAATTGGACAGATACATGCAAAAAAATGAAAGTCTTTTTCAGCTTCCCTTTTCTTCATGTCTAAAAATTCTACTTTGGAGTATGACCCTCCTCATTATAGCTTCTATATTTAGTTTTCCTCTTTTTCCTCTATATTCCTAAAATTAATACCACACACAGACATTAAACTTGATGCTTATATATATTCATTGACATAGAAGGTCACCATATATAGTGCTTGGTGAAAAAATACACAGTATAGAACAGCAGTTATATTTGATCACTTTTATGTATACATATATTTATCTGGGTACACAATTAAAAGGAAATATACAAAAGGACATTCATCAAAGGGCTGACAATGGCTATATGAGTGGAGAGTTTCAGGTGATTTGTACTTTAGTTTTTCTATTTTCCTACATTTTTAAAGGTTTAACAAAGTGTTCTACTCCTTTCATAAAACAAAGTCAGCAAGGAAATAGATGCACAGAGAATAGACCCTTAGGGAGACAGAAGAGGGAGCAGGGACAGAGGTCAGGCCATCCCCTCCACTTTGCTGGCATCCAACACCTCCTCTTCCATGGATTAATTCATGCAGATAGAAATATACTCCCATTTTTCCTCATCACCAGTTTTTTAGTATATCTAAGGATTTACTTAGGGCTGGGTCTATCACCTTACTGTGGCTCAGAGGTCATTGTTTTTACTGGGTACCTCTTTTGACCCCTCCTACTCTGTAGGTATCAGCTCATGCAAGGTGATGATCAGGTTCCTGGGCCTTGTTGCTCTCATTGTCACAAGTTTCCTTGGAGTGGCCCTCTTTTCTACAATATGAACAGTGGGTTGTGTATTTTCACTTCCTGGCTCTACACATATCCTTAGAACCATCATTCTTATACCCGGAACCACCACTGATGGAAGGAGACTGGACCTGCGAACTGTTGGGGGAATCAATGACCAATGTCTGATCCTGAGGTGGGAGCCTTTCTCTGAGGGGAGGGGCACCTATGTATGGAAGTGGAGGGTCTACCAGGATCACATCCTCATCTGAGTCATTGATGATATCATTTAGCTCTATCACATTGCAGTCAGCACTGCCGATCACTATCCGTAGGGAACCCTGAAATGCCACTGGGCTGGTTGCCCTCTCCACCATTGACTCGGATCTCCTGGCCCGCTTCCTATTAATGAAAGTGTCATCCCAATCCTCCTCCTCCCTTATCATCTTGATTAACTCCAGGAAATTGGGAAGACGCTCCTGCTCATTTGCATACATCCTGAGAAGATGCTTCAGCCTATAGTGCAGGTCCCCATTCAGCTCAGCCCCTAAAAGGAGCTGGTGTAGGCGAGTCTGGTTTGCATCTTTCTCGGCTATGATCCCTGCCTGAATAGCGTTCTGGAGCTGCACCTCTAAACGGATCACATAAAGGGAGGCTTTCTCCCCTTGTGCCTGCAGGGTGTTAAAAAATTTACCGTGGGCAGTCACATTGTTTTCAGTCTCCCCAAACACCAGTTTCATTGCGTGCAAGAAATCTGCCACACTTAGGTTGGGGTTGGCTGCCTGGAGCAAGTGCATGACCTCCCGGGCAGGGCCCCTAAGGGTTTTCAGCAAGCGCTTGAGCTTTTCTTCCTCAGACATATTCCAATCTGGCAGGACCCCATTGACTTGGATTAGCCAGTTTTCAAAGGTTTCTTCCCCCTGGGCTGGCACGCCCCTCCCTGAGAACAACTTCATGTTTCTTTCTGCCATGTTGGCCATTAAAGGACCAAGACTCCTCCCCAGGGACCTCAGCATGGAATGGGCCCAAGGCGGCAAGCGAGCGTTCTGCCGCCGGCTGTTACCCATGTGTGCAATGATGCTAGCCATGATGGATGCTGATTGGGTATCTGAATATTATCAAGATGTTTGGGCTTTTTGGAAAAGACTAATCTGCAGGCGTGCCGGGAGCCTCTGCCTTCCTCCTGTTAAAAAAAGAAAAAGAAAAAGAAAAAAGAACGGGAGGGGTGTGTAAGAGGAGATTAATAGGGCTGCAGCTGTTTTCTCTCCCTTCCTGAATATCCTGCAGTACATTTTATATCTGCCTGCTGTCCTAAAAATATCCTCCAGAAGACTGGCAGTTACAACTCAGGGAGCCAGCCGGTGTCTCCCTGTTAGCGGGGAGCTTTGGACAGCCACATCCATTCCTCCAGTCTTTCAAGAGCGACGGCAACTGTTGCTTCTAATTCTAAGTGTAATAGTGTATGGAGCTGATGTTGGGCTCTCAAAATAGAGCACAGTGGTCAGATCTCATTAACCTCGTGGTCTCAGGTCTCAACCACATCCCTTCTCAAAGTGTCTCCCCCCCCCCCCCAATTTCACTATCAGCCTCTGCAATTGGTGGCCTCCATGAGGAAGCTTGTCTCCAGGGTCCAGTCGATCTTTGTCCACCGGGGGAGTCCCTGATCCCGGACCTCTGGGTGTCAAGACTGAGCCTTCGCCAGGAAGGACAGGGAAAGGAAGGGTCAGAAACAGCCCCATCCCTCATCCCGCTCGCTCCCTCTTCATCCCACACCCCCTTGCTCCCTCCGCTGTAGCCAAGCTGAAAATTCCCTTAGCGACCTTTTGAATACAAGCCAAAGCGACCCCCGCCCCGCCCCGTTACATTTCCCCTTGGAAATCCTCGGCCTACCAGCTCTGCAATCAGCCGCACAGAATTCAAGTCCGGATTCGTCTTAGATGGCCTGCCGCTGAGAAAGAGAATAGGAGTTGGACACACACACCCACATATCCCTCACCAGGATGAGATGAGGGGATGCAAAGGGATGTCAAAACAGACAGCTTGCGATTCTCTTCCCTTGCCTCCCCAACCTCTCTGAAAACTCCCCTCTCTCAATCCAGGCAAACCCTACCCACTAGGCAGCATCCAATGGCACCCCATCTCCTCCCTCAGCGCAGCCAGGCCATATGGGTGCTCCTTGCCCAGCCTCCTAGTTCTGGATTTTCCAAGCGGGGAGCCGCCCAGTCCCGGTGGGGCTTTCCCTCCTCTCTCCCCGCCCGGCAATCGCGCCCCCTTTATTTACCTGTGCTCCGCGGGTGGGCAGCGGCGAGACAGCTCAGGATGTAGGTTTGGGCAGGGAAAGGATGGACGCCTCCTCGGCCGCTAAGCTACTCGGGGCTGCCCGAACCGAACTGCTCAGCACTGCCGCCCAGCCAGGGGGAGTAGAGTCCTGTCAGCACGGTTCCCAAGGCAGCAGCAGCTGCTTTTATCCTCAGTCCTCTGAGACAAAAGAGCGTGACGTGCTGGCCGGCGCGGCCAATCAAAGAGGCCTGTGGCAGGGAGGGGGGGAGTGCGACGCCCAGCACAGCCTCCATCCTAGGCAAGTTTTAACCGAACAGGGAGTAGGGGGTGGGGGAGGGGACAGGGGACTGGGCCGCAGGTCTGCTGGGCTTCAATTGCGGTTTGGTTGCATGGACTGCAAATTTGCTACTCTTCCCTTCTCCCTCTTTCTCCCTTGACCAAATCCCGTGCCTTGAGGGCAAGTGCATTAAACACGAGGTGGAATAAAAAAACAAATAAACCATAGAAGGACTTCACCTTTGTGTGGTGGGAAGGGGGGTAGGGATAAGAACACTAGAGTTTTCTTACTGCAAACAGGCTTGCACAGGCATCTTTCAGTGTAAAGGAGGTGGCAATATGTCCAGTTAACAGCGAGAGGACTTAGGCACCCAGGCTGTTAACCAATTACTAAACTATGGGTACAAGGCTGACTGCAACAGAATCATTTTGGGGAGCTTGTTAGAAATGTAGATTACTGGATCTGGCCTCTGGGGGATTCTGATTTAGGAATAGGGCTGAGGTATGATTTTAGGTTTTTAACCAGCACTGTAGTTGATTCTGAGGTGTAGAGAAGATGGTAAGTAAATGCACCTGTCTCCAATGTATCTGTTCACAGTATATCTGTGGTGACATGCATCTCCAGAACACATGTTCTTACCTGTGTCCATATCTTCCTGAAATTGTATGGGAAGAGTTTGGAATCTGTAGGAGGCTGAATAATGGCCACACATATATATTAAGTCTTAATCCCTGGAACCTGTAAATGTAACCTTATAAAATAAAAGAGCTTTGACAGATGTGATTGAGGATTTTGACATGGGGAGAGTATCTGAATGGACCCTAAATCCAATCACAGGTGTCATTATAAGAAGGAAGACAAGAGAGCTGACACAGAAAAGGAGAGAGGGATGTGAAGACAGAGGCAGAGAATGGAGTGATGTGGCCACAAACAAAGGAATGCTGGCTGTCAGGGCCAGCCTGACAGGTTGAGCCGGGCTGAGGTAGGGAGGTGGGAATTGAGAAAAGAAAGAAAGACAGGAAAGCGGCATCGTGAGGACTACAGCTCTCGAGGAACTGAAGCAAGTTTATTAACTACACAATGCTATTTATACACAACACACTGAATAGGAGGTCTGTCAAGAGGAATGTATTCTTTGTTCCTCTTAATCTCTAAGGGAGAGACAGAGCAGGACAAATTCTCGGCACAGCAAACCTCAGTAAATAGTTACAAACTTCTTGGTAAGCCATGAAAGGCTGTTCTCATTCTACAAAGATTGCTCTCATTCTACTGATAATCGCCATCCAAACAAGTCTGGGAAAACTGTGTGGGTAAGGGTCCCAGCTTAGCTAGTCCCTTCAGGTGCAAGGACCTTGTCAGCTTACACCCTGTCCCCAACAGCTGGCAACCACCAGAAACCAGAAGAGACAAGGAGCAAAGTACAACTCTGCCCACACCTTGAATTCAGTCCAGAGGAACTTATATTGAACTTCTGGTCTCTAGAACTATGAAAAAATAAATGTCTCTTCTTTCCAGCGACCAAGTTTGTGGTAATTTGTCACGGCAGCAAAGGGAAACTAATGCAAATTGTATTTTTCTGAATCCATAGCTTTATCAATTTTAAAATGGGTCAGTGGCTCAGTAATTGTTAAAAACCACTCCCCTGCGATATTTCTTCATTACTATCTTCCTCCTTGA